ATTAACTCCCGCTGCTCTTTCATTTGTTTCTGCAGGATGTCTCTGAATTTCTGTTACCTCTTACCTTGCCAAAAGCTATGTATTTTGGCTAAATTATACATATAGACATTTGTAATTAATTAATTAAACAATTCAAACATTTTTACGTTTACATATTTTGTTGTTTTTATCCCCTATGCTAAGCACTGTGTATTATAAAGCGAGGGTTTAGGACCAATGGTGAGACCAAACCCACGCCCTGAAAGTGAAAACAGAGGGTTTGACTGATGTTCGTTTCCATTCTCTTTGTAAACCTGACCCTGTCTTCTTCCCTGCCCTCCTATGCACTCTTGTACCAACACATACTGTGTTATATCATTCCTTTCTTTCTTTTATTATTGCTTCATTATCTCTCTCTGTTGTCCCCTGTTCTGTTTGTTTCCTCCTCCGTCCCCGCAGCCTCTCTGTATTTCCTTTGACAAAATTAATGAGCTTTTTAATTGTAAGTTGATTTGCTACAGCTGCTAAGTATATTGCCTCTCTTCTCTTCTCTCTCTCTCTCTCTCTGTGTTTGTGTGTGTGTGTGTGTGTGTGTAATGCAATTACAGCTTATTGGTGGTTGTTACCTTGCTGCAGTTTTCACTGTAATTTATTCAGCCTTACAATAACATTACCAGAGTGAGATTGAAAACTGTACTGAAATGTTATTCATTCTCAAAGTAACAAGTAGTGCAAGATATAATATTTGAATTTCACTAAACATTTAAGTGGTTATAGTTGTTGTAATGGTAAATAAAAGGGCAGTAAACCCTAATGTTGTCCATGAGCAGTTTTGGGTAATACACATTAAGGAGCTGAGTTGAGTAATGGGATGGTGGTAGTTTCAGTTCAGTAATTCGAGAGACGGTACAGAGCTCAGACATCCGGAGGGAACTTGGAGTAGAGCCGCTGCTTCATTGTGTCGAAATCTGATCAGAATCCTTCTGGGTGCCTTCCTTTGGAATTTTTCTGGGTACGTCAAGGTGACAAGAGACCCCTATGGGATGGGTTTAAAAACTTTGAAAGGCTGAAAACTATAGACTGTATAAAACAAGTGGACGTAGCCACCATGACCCTTTGGTTTGTGGTCTACCATTTTGAAGCCTCGAGTTTGACACTTTGGACGTCAAATTCTTGATTTTTTAGAGCAAATAGTGAACACGTGACACACCATATTCGGATGTGACATTCTAATGTGAATGGATGTGAAAACACACTGTGCAGCTGCCAGACAAAAACACAGTGATTCACCTCTATTCTCATTGTCAGGTCACCTTGGTCGACCCTGAGCTTGCAGTTTGGTTGAAACTTAGTGTTTGAAAGCTTGCGTCATTATGATAGGATAAAAAATATCTGCAAACATTATTTTGTATTTGTGTATAACTTCTTCTACAGCTCTCTTTTTACACCGTTTTCCCAACACAGTTTCAAATGTGTCACTGTTCTCCCTCTGTAAGTATATTGTATGTTTTTCAGGTTTGAAACCTTGTAAATGGTGATCTGTAAACTGGTGCACATTTGTTAGGAAAAAAGTTTTAAAACTTTGAAAGGGTCAATCTTTATTTTGAAATTTTGCAGATGTACATTTGCAATCGTACTCGACTGTTTGTGGAGTTCACAACACCCAATTTTCAGAGATCAGCAGAGATCCTGGAGGCAGGGAAATTAGCTCTTAATGGATGTCGAATAAAATCTACAGTAGATAACCGGTTCACTTACTGCAGATTTTATTAGGTCTTCAGGCCCAGGTGGGAGGTGAAGTGGGGAATGGCCCCAAAAATCCTTTATCCAACCTAATTCATTTGGGGTCTGACAAACAGTAAAAGCAACAAATTCAGTGCCCCATATTGCTATTTTCCAGCTAACTTACTGTAGTTGGCGTTTGCTGTAGGATTATGTTGCAGCCCTGTTTTGCTGCTGCCGACTGCAGCATGCTCACTCAATACTGGACCAATTTCAAGTAGTAGTAGAAGTTAAGATCCAGGTTGAAAAATACAGAAGTTACCCTTTAATGTTTAATGTAAAGCCATAGTTTTTGTCCATCCAGACTGCTTTCATGTCCACTGTCTCTTTTTAGTCCACTCTCCCCATCATCTATCTCCCTCCTCCGCCTCATCTTTCCTTTCCCCATATCTCTTCACCATCCTGTGTCTAAAGTAACCGGGTCTCCGTAGACAAACTAGCTGTGTGGAGTGCTAAGTGAAGTTAAAGAGAGGAGACGGGGGAGAGGGAGGGAGGAGATAGAAAGTGCTAATTGCTCCCTCCTCACAGCCTCAAAGATGAAACTGATATGAAACAGTTTGGAGTTACTGTTATTCCAGAGGGGTTAGCTCACATGAAAGGGCAAGAAAATGATGTTGTTACAGCAGTCATGGAATTATTGTAACCTTCAAGTGCTGCGTCGGCAGTAGTTAAATGGATGCATGGGCATTTTTAGTGATGGTCAGCTTTTTTTCTTCATCATCACGTATTTGCCCTTCAGTTAAACTAAAATGACTTTATTTTTGCTAGGCAATACATTTTTAATCAAGTGTGAGCGCAGAGTAGTTTTGAAAAGTAAAAACATTCATTTTGACTGTCAGAACAAAACACAAGATTATTTCAGACACAAGACTGAGAATTGAAGGAGAAAGAAGGGATTTAATAGGATGGAAAGTGATACGTGAGTATTGCTGTGTTATTGAATGTATTTCTTCTCTAATATACCTCCTTACATAAACTCATTATAGTTTGAGTCACTGTTCCATTAGAGTGCGACGGTTAGAAGTAGCAAATCAGAATTATTTATCCAGAAGTGTCACATCTTATTAATTGAAGATAGATAATTTCCAAATCTGTGACCTTAAATTAAATGTCTTATTTAGTCTTATATGCATACATCCTTAAGACCATGTGAAGTCATGGCCTGCAGATTTACCCTATATCACTAACTTCACTACCAAATCTCACTTGAACCCGCTTATTCCAAGTGCTAATAAAAAAACAAAGGTTGCATTTAATTACTGGGCCTCTGGACAGGCAATATTATCAGAAAGAGCTGCAAAAGGTTTTCTTCACTGGACAAAGTATTGTCACTTAGTTGCTCTCTCCACCTTCACAAAAACCCACAGCTCAAAGCAACAGGTTGGTTGTGTAGCTCTGCAGGCTGTTGCACCAGTGTGTAAATACACACTAAGCATAGTTTGTTGTTGTTATTTAAAGTAAAATGGACACCTTTCCATGTAGGTGTAAGTCATTGCTGGAACATTTTCTTCAATACACATACCGGGAGCATATTGCCTGCGACAGAGTTTTACATTAATGATGACACTGACTGTATTGTGCTGTAACTTACAGGTACTTGGATCAGATGAGGGCACAAGTGTGATTTTAGGTTGCATTCAGTTGAGATGGGCATTGCTGCTGGAATCACTTGGTTGCTAGTAACACACAATATTTTTGTTGAGATGGATTTTTTTCAGAGACATTTGTTGACTTTGTTCATGAGCGTATTTATGTGTGCACTATTGGTCAGTCGAGTGTTGGAGCTCCTCCACTGGTTGTCGCTTTCAAAATGAACTGCTTTGTTTATGCTTCTGTAAGACACTGCGGCGCAGGACTCTGCTGATGGGACTTGAGCTACAAGTGCACACAGAGGTGTTTATGCACAACGCGCTATCCAAATACTCCAAAACGGCTGGGCAAGTTTTGCCAGAAGAATGCCATGGACCAAACATAGCTGCACACAGCTCCTCAGTTGAAGAATTGGATTTCTATTCTTGGACGTACAGAACTTTACTGCCATTATACAATTGCTGAAGAAAGAAGTCAAGTATTTGGAACAACAAATGTATTCTAACCAAACAAACACTGAATATCCTGTAAACAATTTGATTCTGCTGGCAAAATATGATTTACTCAAATGTAGAATGTTCAAGATTTCCTCCTGTTTTTTAAGCATTTAAAAAACACATTGGCCAGTGTAGCGAGGGGCGAGATTCGAATCCAGGTGGTACACCCTTCACTACAGCCAGCTTTTTAAAATCCTTGAGAAATTAATAGTAAAATGAATTCATTCAAGCATAAACAAAGCTTTACATGCTCCTCTGTATTGTCCTCAGAAGCACATTAACCATACACGTCCAGCCACAGACCAGGTTTCCACCTAGTCTCTTGTTAATACATCAGTCTACTGTAGGCCATTTATTTTCTGCCAGTAGTTAATAGGGGCTTTCTCTCCCAGAAATGCCCAGCGCTGCACTGGCACAACAGGCTGCTGAGCATCAGTTCAGTTGGTCATGAAAGGTCTAATGACACAATAGAAAAACAAGCACTTGACAGTCAGACAGGTCGTACGCCCTAAGCTTAGCCAAACTTATTTGGAAGAGAAAAGAAAGGTGATTGTAAAGTTATTACCCAAACTATCTTGGAAACATCCATCACACTTTGCTGGTTCAATTTTGGCCTACTGTACTTGTCTTTCTGTGTAATGATGTATTATTAGCAACATTTCAGGTGTGCTCACATTTTGTTTTATGTCTAAATTAAGTTGTCTACATAATCTAGATAACCTGGTGGTTTATATCAAATGTCCTCACAGCCAGAAACAATTACAACTACTATAAAGAGAATCAATTACAGACTGTAAATACACTGAATGGCTGCTGTTAAAATTTGGGATTTAATATATTAAAGATTTTAGAGATTATAATTTTAACATTAGAGAGGTTATTTTATTGTTTTGACATATCAAACATATATATACTGTCTATAAAATCTCATACACTGCAACAAATACATAGTCATTGTCAATGTCAGGATAACACAATAAAGTTTTACCTTATTTTGATTGTGGTCCTTTCTATCTTTATGATGAGAAAGTAGTTGACTTGAATCTCCAGATGTCCACAATTAGTTGCATTTCCAGCCAGTAAGAGAGCTTGAGGGGCATCCAAACTGGCACATGTTTGAACCGTCACACCAACCAGTCAGTCCATCAGTAATCTTATCTGTTCAAAGTGTCCTCGGGCAAGCTTTTGAATTGCCACCTGCTCATTTATTGCAGATCACTTTGGATAAGAACATCAGCTGAACACCATAATTGTGATTACAGAAGAAAAATGATTTTAATGGATCAGTGTCCAGGTTTAAATGTGAGCATGGGTGTTGCTGAAAGAGTCTGCTCAGTTACCTTCTCTTGTATCGATCTTAAATTCAAAAGGCAGAGTCAATGGCCTATTGCAAAGATTCCCTTTGAGAGGAGGTACAGGTGGGAAAGTATTGGTATTTCATACTTGTTTAATAGGGATCGGGCCGGGGCCTCTCATTCTCTCTCCCACTCCCGCCCTTGAGACTGAACTAAGCTCTTGTAAACAACTGACAGGCTTAGAGAGAGAGGAGAGGGGATGGCTGGATGAATTTTGCATATGAAGTTGTGTGTCTGTACAAAAAGCTATTGGCTCTGAAAGCACGACGCAATGCAAATGAGAAAACACAACTCAAAAGCTTCAATTTGACACAATGCTACATAATCGGCAGCATAATAATACATATGAAAGGTGAAAGCTTTGAATATTGAATTAATTTGATTGTATCTCTGTGTGTATTGGTGTCTGCTCGTGCGTGCATGTATGTTACAGATCTATCGGCGTTGCTGGCTTGTGTTCAAAAAGTCATCCAGCAAAGGACCTCGTCGTCTGGAGAAATACCCTGATGAGAAGACTGCCTACATCAGAGCCTTTCCTAAGGTAAGTTTGTGTGTGTGTGTGTGTGTGTGTGTGTGTCAGGTATTCTCTGTTCTGGATGAAAGCAGTCAGCCTTCACATTAAAGTCTGACTCTTTTAGTTCTTAGATCTTCTCCCTCTCAGAACTCAGTCATCTTTAGTCTTTATCACTTCTCCTTCCCCTGACCTTTTTTGTCTACTTCCACACACCTACACTTAGCATGCTTCTACACAGCAGCTGACTTTTTTTGTTGTCTAACAATTGCTAAGTCACCTTTCTCACTACTGAGTTCACTTTTTCAAAACCCTTCACACAGTTCTCTTTACCAACATACAGCTCAGCATGTAGCTCAGCAACAGTCTCACATCCAAAACGCACTAATGCGCCCAAAACACAGATCTCTCATACCATTTGTCTACCAACAGTAACACTTTGTCATTCTTCATTTGCTGACTATATATATATTCTTTATTTCATGAGTTTTTATTTCATGCTGCCTTACAGTAAAATGTCAGAGATGAATCCGACATGCTGTAACATGCTTATTTTTGCATAGAATATTTCAAAGTGCACAAAATAAAGTAAGTCCAGTAATACAATACAAAATTGTACATATTCACTATATGTGTGTTTGTGTAGGAGAGCTACAGATTCTATATAGAAAACAGTGCTAGTCAACTCTGCCTTCTGCATTTGGTTCTCATCCACTTCAGACTTTCTGTCTTCTCTCTTACAATCCTCCTGGGAAGAGATCTTTTTGAACCCTGTTCATCCCTGGCAGGCTGCTGCAGATGTTCAGACATCCATTCATTGCATTTAAGAGGGACACTGTCAGGACTCTCCAAGGTGCTGATCCCGTTGCTTGGCACAGCTAGGGAGCTATCCAGAGTGCTCGTAGTAGTAATGGGAAAGCTTCTTCCATTTGGAACTTCCAGCCAATAACTTCCTTGTCTAATCAATGACTTCACCTGTCAGATATATACACCATCTGTTTGCTTACTCTTGAATCTATTTTCATGTGTGAGTACCGTAGAAAAGTATGTCTAATCTTTGATGTGTTTGATGGTTTTTGCGTTTCTTAGTTAGATAGCCTTGTTGGCTGTACTGTCTTTGTTTAGCTGAGAGAATAAAACTTAAACTTTTTTTTAGTCTCCTGCCTCTCACTGCACCCTTAGACATCTGATCATATGGCTGGTGGGCATAAACTTTCCACTTCCACGAGGACAAGAGTTCCACTGTGGGGTTGAGGAATGAAGATTAAGGTGACACCATCCTGGGATGGGCTGTAAACCATTCTGTGACTGGGAAAGATGGTGAAACGTCACATTGTCATATACAAGTACAAAACCTTGTTGATTCTGCCTCACCTGCCCCCTTTCCTCACCTGGCACAAGTATTTCATGTAGGCGTTCAGTGTCCCAATAGGGGGTAATGCATTTTTAAAAAATGTTAAAAAAAATGTTTGTTAACACAAAGGATTGTATGCAAAAGTAGCGAACAGAAGACAGAACAGGTGCAGTTTAAAGATTTGATTAAGAATCAAACAGGGACAAAAGGCTTACACCATGGAGAGGCAGGCAAGGGCCGTACCCAGGTAAATTTTATATTTGGAGAGATTTTTGAGTCAC